GCAAACTATAGATTCAATGGAATCCCTATTAATACACCAATGGCCTATTTTACAGATCTAGAACAAATATTCCAAAAATTTATTTGAAACCCCCAAAGACCCTGAATAGCCTCAATAATCTTGAGAAAGAACAAAGTTGGAGGAATCATAAGACTAGGTATCAAGTTATATTACAAGCCACTATAATCAAAACACCTTAGTACTAGAACAGGAATAGGAATAAACTTCAATGAAACAGAACAAAGACCCCAGAAATTGACTCAAGCCATTATGCTCAATTAATATTTGACAGAGGAGGCAAGAGCATACAAAGTAGTAAAGATAGTCTCTTCAATAAATAGTGCTGGGGAAAAAGGACAGATACATGTAAAAAAAAATAAAACTAGACCACCAACTTACACCATACACAAGAACAAACTCAAAATGGATAAAATATTTAAATGTAACTTGGGAAAACATAAAAATTCTGGAAGAAAACATCATCATTAAAATCTCAGACATCTCACATGGCAGAATTTCCACCAACCCATCTCCTAGAGCAAGAGAAACAGGAAAAATAAACAAGTGGGTCTTTATCCAAGTAAACAGCTTCTGCACAGGAAACAAACAAACAAAACACACACATAAGAACTGAGAACAACCAAACTGGTTTGGCTCAGTGGATAGAGCGTCGGCCTGCGAACTGAAAGGTCCCAGGTTCAATTCCAGTCAAGGGCATGTACCTTGTTTGCAGGCACATCCACAGTGGGGAGTGTGCAGAAGGCAGCTGGTCGATGTTTCTCTCTCATCGATGTTTCTAACTCTCTATCCCTCTCCCTTCCTCTCTGTAAAAAAATCAATAAAATATATTTTTTAAAAAAGAACTGCAAACAAACAAACCAGAAGCCCCACAAACCACTAGCACAAGGGAGCACACTGTGTGGGAGAACATATTCACCAATGATACATCTTAAAACGGGTTAATTTCAAAAATATATAAAGTTTGTATATAACTCCACACCAAGAAGACAAACAATCCAATTTAAAAATTGAGTAAAGATCTTGAATACACACTTCTCCAAAGTGGACATACAGCTGGCCAAAAGACATTATGGAAAAATGCTCAAAATCACTAATCAACTGAGAGATGGAAATTAAAAGCACAATGAGGTATCACCTCACACCTGTCAGAATGGCTATAATCAACAAATCAACAAACGACAAGTGCTGGTGAGGACATGGAGAAAAGGGAGCCTATTACACTGCTGGTGGGAGTGAAGACTACTAGAGCCATTATAGAAAACAGTGTGGAAGTTCATCAAAAAATTAAATATGGAATTGCCATTTGACCCAGGTGTCCCACTTCTAGGAATGTTTCCTAAGAATCCCAAAACACCAATCAGAAAGAATGTATGCACCCCATGTTCATAGCAGCACAATTTACAATAGCTAAGATCTGGAAACAGCCCAAATGCACATCAGTAGATGAGTGGATAAAAGGGTTGTGGTT